TATTTCATTAAAGGATATTAGAAAATTGCTCAAGCATTTTATTGGAAGTGATGGTTAATTACCATATGGGGCTATGTATATTATATCTTCCAAAAAATGCCTACTTCATACCAGATTGGAGAAACTTACCTTTGTCAGCTATGTATGTTATATCCTCCATAAAAGGCCTGTTTCATACCAGTTTGGAGAAACTTACCTTTCTCATATGTAATTTAAGTCTTTACTTTACAAATCTTTATAACTCCTTTAGTAAGGAGTTGTCAGGTCTTGGATTTTGTCCCTTCTTACAAGCTAATAAGCTTATTTCATTGAGTCTATCAATAAAAACACAGGGCTTCTTAGTAAGAGACAAAGGATTTTATTATTTATGGTACAACAAACAGCATGAACATTGATGTATTTCCATCAGTTTCTCCTTCCTTTAAGTCCTCAGAAGATGATATAATGTGTAGTAAGGGATGCTATGCATGAAGTGGTATTGTGTCACAGCTGAGGAACTCTGAGCTTAGGAAGTTCATTGCTTTTATAACAAGCACTTAGCCAGGTTGCTTTTTGTCTTAGAGGGAGACATTACCTCATCTCCCAAGGTTGCTTGCTGGCATAACCCTGAGAAGTGGCCCAGATAGAATGCTCATGTCGTTACACTGTTGGCACACTCATCAGGTCATGTAAGAGTACAAGAGACTCATGGTGGACTGTCTTTCAATAATATCCACTCCATGGCCCTACACTGGGTTAGTTGCTAGAAATTTATTTTATGAGTATGCCACTTTGTCAGTCATTCTGATTTATGTAACTGAGAAATGTCATGACGAAACGCATTACATTTGTCTCAAATAACACTTAATTAAGGCTACTATCAGCAGAACTCTAAGAAGCAGAATGAGACCAACCTGCAGTATTAACCTTAATTATGCTTGATCCAGCCAAATGTGAGTAAGTTCCAAAGTACAGACAGCTAGCATGTAGTATTTTATCTGTTATAACTCATACATGAAAGTTTAGACTGAAATTTTGATCTCTGAATTGCCACAAAGAAAAAAACCCTACCATTCCCAATACAGAGATGTTATATGGCCTTTCCCCAGGCATAACCCTAAATGCACAGGTTAATCAAATTTGGGATTTATTATTAAACTTGATTTGGATAAGCATGGCATCACTTTGGTTAAACTACATGAGCAGTGTCAGTGAGTATTTGCAATATTTGCAACCTCTGTAGCCATTCATGACATAACCCAAGTGTCAAGATATCAGGGGAAGCATATAAATTTGTATCTGTCCGTTTGAGACAAGGTTGTGTTGATTCTTGTGTTTGGATACTTATGAAGATGGGGAATCTATATTGGAAAGTTGCCACTGATATAACAGAATAGTCCGGAAGCCATATTCATAGGAGTTTTCCTGTGTTCATGGAATGTGGAAGGAGATAACAAACCAATAGCAGGTCAGAGAGTTGCTGCTTGGTTTCAGAAGACAATATGGTTGTTTTTCTATACTTCTTTTAGCATACAAAGAGAGTATTAGACCCTCACCTCTCCCCACTGGCCAGGGTCTAAGAGTTTCTCTTGCTATGTGCTCATCATCACTAATCATCAGAGAAATATCCATCAAAACCACAATGAGTTATCATCTCACACCAGTCAGAATGGCTATTATTAAAAAATTATAAAACAACAGATACTGATGAGGCTGCGGAGAAAAGGGAACACTTATATGCTGTTGATGGGAATGTAAATTAGTTCAGTCCCTGTGGATAGCAGTTTGCAAATATCCCAAAGAACATAAAATGGAGCTATCATTTTACCCAGCAATCCCATTGTTGGATATATATGCAAAGGAAAATAGACTATTGTACCAAAAAGACACATGGCTTCTTATTATTATTGCCATGCTATGCACAATAGCAAACATGTGAAATAAAATTCTGTGCCCATCGATAGTGGATTGGATAAAGAAAATGTGGTACATATATACCATGGAATACTATGTTGTCATAAAAAGGAATGAAATAATGTTCTTTGCAGCAACATGAATGGATCTGGAGGCCATTATCCTAAGTGAATTAATGCAGAAATGTTTAACCAAATATCACATGTTCTCACTTATAAGTGGGAGCCAAACACAGAACCTATGTAAACATGGCAACAACTGTGGCTTACCAAAGGGAGCAGGGACTGGGGGGTGTATTAAATAGTACCTATCGAGTACTATGCTCACCATCTGAGTGTAATATACACGTGTAACAAACCTGCACATGTACCCCTTGTACCTAAAACATAAGCTAAAATGTCTAAAAATAGACGCAAAATTAGTACCATTTCAGAAGCATTTATTTTAAGATAAATCGCTTTTAAATGAAGTCTTGTTTTGCAATACTCTGAGGTTCACAAGGCATATCTAGAAAATTTACTGTTGTGGAAGGTGAAGACGGTGTAAAATCAATGGAGGAGAGGTCCGTGGTTTTTCTTATTTGTTGATTATCATAACATTGTCCTTTGGGGATATGAAAGAGTTTTATATAGTCTTTAGACATAATTAGGCAAACAAGGGTCCTTAGGACAGGTTTGATGCTGTATAAAGTCTGTCATTTTGCTAGCACTGATATGGCTCTTGGGTCCACCACAGCGTTAGATCTGTTGACCCATTTGTATCATGTTTTGTTACAAATCTTACAAAGAAGGGTGCTTCTTACAGACTTTGCTTCAGAGGTTATATTTGTTTTAGTACATTATCCAAGACTAGTGGCTGCCAGCTTGTGTTGCTTTCACTTTTCCTCTGGTTTTTGTATTTATCGAGAAATGGTCATGGTTTCTGTCAAGTGCAATGTACCCTTGGAGAAACAAATTTCAATATTAGCATCTTCTCCCTCATTCTATTTCCTAGGCAGTTGTTGGTGGGAATGGGAAAGGTTAGCCTCAGCCATCTTTGGTGAATAACGATTACGTGGCTCATGAGTGGAAAAGAGCCTGCTTCATTGTTGGCCTCTTAAAGGACACAAAACACATTGTGGAACAGAAAAGAACAGTAGTTGTCTGTCTTTGTTTATTTATAGACTCAATTGAGTTCCTTGCATAGATAGCTCCCTGATAGATTTGGTTTGTTGGTTATGTCAGGATGAACAAAACCTGTAACTTTTAGAGACTGATTCCTAGATATCAGCTTTATACAAGAAAGGCAATAAGAGGAACAGGACAAATAAACAGGCAGATTGGGTTTATTGACAGTTTTTAGGTACTAAAGGCAGGTTCATCTCAATTGCACCAACCCAAGCAAGTGCTGTTTAGGCACAGATGCATCATTGGTGCAAAATGGAATGACAAAGTTCAAGCTCCTCCAGTTCCTGGCCTTGCTAAAAAAAAATATTGCTTAGGCTGTGGGCTGTAACCATGTTTGTTCAGCTAGATTTTAGGTCATTTCATCTTGGAAGACTTATTTTGAGTTACAAGAAATTTCTTTAAAACTTGTATATAACAGAGTAGTATAGGAATATGTGGCCTGACATTAAGAAGAGCTATACGGTGTGAAATTCTCCTTGAATTGCAAAAATATCACTCAGATTTCTATAATAGAATCTGTTATGTCTGATTTTTTAGTTCAGGAAAGTGGCTATTAGATATAAGTGGTCTTACTTAGATAAGAATTGCCATTTGATGGAAACTCATACACACATACATATCCCTCTGCTTCTCTCACACATACATTGACTTTGACTCTTAATATAGCTTAAAAGCTTTATTAAAACTTTTTATTTTTAATTGATATGTAATATTTGTACATATTTATGTAGTTCATGTGATATTTTGTTACGTGCATAGAATATACAATAATCAAGTCAGGGTGTTTAGGATATCTATTACCAAGAGCATCATTTATTATTTCTGTGTGTTGAGAATATTTCAAGTCCTCACTTCTAGCTATTTTGAAAGTACAATGTGTTGTTGTTAACTTTAGTCACTCTACTCTGCTATTGAACATTAGAATGTATTCCTTCTGTTTGTACCCATTAACCAACCTCTTTTTATTCCCCGCAACCACGTCCACATCCTTCCCAGTCTCTGATCACCAACATTCTAGTCTCTGTCTCCTGAGATCAACTCTTTTTTTTAGCTCCCACCTCTGAGTGAATTCATGCAATATTTATCTTTCTGTGCCTGGCTTATTTCATTTAACATAATGACTTCCAGTTCCATCCATGTTGCTGCAAAGGACATGATTTCATTCATTTTTATACGTGAATAGTATTCCACCGTGTAACTATACAACATTTTCTTCATCCGTTCACCAGTAGATAGACACTTTGTTGATTTAACATCCTTGCTATTGTGAATAGTGCTGCAATAAACATGGGGAGGCAGGTATGCCTTCAATACACTTATTTCCTTTCCTTTGGATAAATACTCAGTAGTTGGATTGCTGGATTGTATGGTAGTTTTATTACTAGATTTTTGAGAAATTTCCCTACTGTTTTCCAGAGTGGCTGTACTAATTTACATTCCTACCAACAATGTTTGAGAGATCCCTTTTCTATGCATCCTCATCACATATATCATTTTCTGTATTTTTAATAATAGCGATTCTAACTAGGATAGGATGATATCTCATTGTGGTTTTGATTTGCATTTCTGTAATGATTAGTGATGTTGAGCATGTTTTAAATACCTACTGGTCATTTGTCTTCTTTTGAGAATTGTCAGTTTAGATCCACTGCCCATTTTTAAATGGGATTGTTTGATTTTTTATTTTTTGCTGTTGAGTTGTTTGAGTTCCTTGTATATTTTGAATTTAACGAAAGTGTCTTATTTTCACTTTTAACAGTTCATATAACACAGGCCTGTAGTTGGAATACATCTTTGATCGCTTTTGTGAGTCCTCAAGATGGCAGTGTCTTCTCAGGGACCTTGAGGAAAGCTCTCATGTGCTTCTGTGGGTGGGGGGAGGGGAGGGGGATGCATGTGCACTTGCAAGTGCACACACACATGAATACGAGCGAGACAGAGGGAGAGATGAGGGAGGAGCTTACTGATGGAGCAGAGGTGTTAAAAAGAACATCTTTTCTCTAATTGGTAGGACAGATTTCTTTTATGATTCCTACAGCAGAAAAATGAGAAACATTTGGATTACTTCTTCTCTCTGTGTGTATGTGTATGTGTGTGTGTTTAAGGTTTGAATCCTTGGTGAACCAGGGCAGAAAAGAATGATGAAATCCTTGAGAATTTTACTGGTGATCCTGTGGCTTCAGTTAAGCTGTGAGTTTTGGGCATCTCTATAGGAATAGAATGTATATTGTTTGCAATTATTGTGTATTCTAGGCCTGTGGGTAGAAACATGAGTGGTTTTTTTCCGCTAACAAAGGGAGACTGTGGAGAGTGGGGGGTCCATGAAAAGATGATTTAAATTCTGGGGACTAAGTGTCCACTACCCAGTCTGTCTTCTCTGTCTGACCACTGTCTTTTTTCACAGGGGTTTGGAGCCAACAGAAGGAGGTGGAGCAGAATCCTGGACCCCTCAGTGTTCCAGAGGGAGCCACTGCCTCTCTCAACTGCACTTACAGCAACAGTGCTTTTCAATACTTCATGTGGTACAGACAGTATTCCAGAAAAGGCCCTCAGTTGCTGATTTACATATACTCCAGTGGTAACAAAGAAGATGGAAGGTTTACAGCACTGGTCGATAAATCCAGCAAGTATATTTCCTTGTTCATCAGAGACTCACAGCCCAGTGATTCAGCCACCTACTTCTGTGCAATGAGCGCACAGTGCTCCCCAGACACCTGCAGTCTGTACCCAAACCTGCTGGACCCCAGGAATGCCTGATGTAGAGCTTAGATTTCAAGGCAATGAAGTTCTGTTTGCTCTCTGGATGCAAACGAAAACCAAGAGCAATAGTATTGAAGGTTTGATTAATTTGGGAAATATTTTCGTAATTCTGAAAATAATTGAGACCCCAAAGGAAAGTAAAAGACACCATTTGGTCTATTTGAAATACTTTCTAGTCTTCTCTTTCCACTTTAGTTTTTAAATATTTTTTTGGCTGGGCTTGGTGGCTCATGTCTGTAATCCCAACACTTTTGGAGGCATAGGGAAGAAGACCACTTAAGCCCAAGAGTTTGAGACTAGCCAGGGCAACATAGGGAGACCTTGTCTAAAAAAAAAAAAAATCGCCAAGAGTGGTGACATGTGCCTGTAGTCCCAGCAACTTGGGAGGGAAGAGGTGGGAGGATTTCTTGAGTCAGAGAGGTGGAGGCTGCAGTGAGCTATGATCACAGAACTGCACTCTAGCCTGGACAATGCAGTGAGACCCTGTCTCAAAAAACCAAAACCAAAACAAAACACAAAACAACAACAAAAGAAATCCAAAATATTTTAATTGAGGTATTATTGACATACAAAAAGGTGCATATATTCACTTTATACAGACAATATAATCATGCCACAAACATATAAAGCATTTCTAAAAATTTACTTCCTCCCTTTTTTCTTTTTATTAAATTATTATTGCTACACAAAAAGGTACATTTATTTAATCTATGCCCAGTCTACTTTTATGCCACATCTTTACTTTATGAGATTGGTTTTATGATTCTTTTTATCAAGGACAAGAAAATATTTCCATACAATAACAGATATGCTCTCATGGTTCCTAAGACAAACGCTCTTTCCCAAAGGCGTTTGACAGACATTGCTTTAGGAATGAAACAGCAAAGCAGAAGTGCAAAGAGAAGAAAAATCATAAGCAGACTACTTTGAAAATCCCATAAGTCATAAATTTTTTTAGTTATAGAACCCTAACTCCATCTCCAGCCTCAACTGCAACATCACTCTTGAGTTATGTAAGGGTACATCTGATGGATAGCTAGAAGATCTAGAGTCAGATGGTGAGAAGTGGTTTAAAAAAGTCTAATTAGTTGCACAGACTAAAGATTAGAGAGGGTCTATGTTGTCATTTTGGGGTAAAGTTTTAATCAAATTCAAAACTCCCAGCTTGAGCCTGATGGGACAGTTTATTGATTCCTATGTACTTGAGTGTGGCCTGGAGATGGGAGGGAGCACTGGCTTTAGTTATAGAGTGCCTTATCTCCCCAGCAAGGCATGACAGCACAGAAGGACTTAACATTTTTTTGAGAAGGGTCTCTAAGTATCTAAAAGAGATCCAGACACCAAGGGCCTTTGTTATGATGAGTAAAGACCTGTATGAATAAGATACAAAAGACCATGTGGAATTGAGAATGCTTCAGGAAATGTTTGTCTGGAGAGTTGGAAACACTAAACATCATATGAATATCTCCATCCCCTGATTATGAGGCACCACAGATTTGCCCTGCAGTGTATGTCAAGTATGGGGAAAGTATTTGTAACCTGATCAAATAAGGCCTTTTAGTCGATATTACCTTGAATTACAGGCAAAACATTTGAGAATCACATTTACTGTAAAAATGAAGTTGTGGTCTGAGAGGCATGACATTATTTATGTGGCCCAGAAGGTGGGAAAAGCTTGGAAATGAAGAATAAAGATTTCTGTCCATTTTATTGACAGTCACTGATGAAAATGATGAAGCCAAGTCAGAATTTCCTACAACTTTTTACTCTGCAGAAGTGAAGACTCTGAACAAATATTTCCCAGTCATGGAAGAAAGATTTAAAAAGCAATGAGGAAGAGCAAACAGTTGTGCTGAAATCAAGGAACTTAAATTTTTGTCCCATTTTTATGATTTGCCTTCTGGCATCATGGTATTCTGGAAAGAACTCAGGCTGTGGTACTGGTTTGAACATCGATTACGTTACTTATGGCCTTTTTCATATTAAGTTATACTATTACATATATTTCAGGATTGGTTTCAGGATTCAGTGAGATAAAATATTGTCGTGGGATGAGTTCCTTAAAAGCAGAGACTGCATTTGGAATTCTCTCTCTATAATTTATTTGGGAAACCAGGTTGAGATGGGGGAAAGGCTAAGCATGGACATGGTCCAGCAGAGATCTTGATCAAGCCTGACCTCATGGGGACCTCTGAAGCTTGAACTGTATCACAGGGTTGATCTCTCCCTCCCTGAGGCAAGGGGATCAGACTGCTCAGACCTATTGTGGGTAAGACTAAAGTCATCATTGGTTGTGGTGTTTCTTGGGGTAGAGGTATATGCTACTGGACAATGGTGACTCTCATTGCCTAAGGTCGATTTTCTAGGGAAAGAGGCAACTGTGAGCCAAGAGTAGCCAACATTCACAGTAGCTGGGGATGGCTACACTGTCCTGGGAAAGGGGGTCTAGCTTGGGGACCAGCAGTGTTCATTGTGAACCTGGAACTTGCCTGGTATGTGGGCAGCATTTAAGAAATAATAGACTTTGATCAGAATAAATGATATCAGAGATTGAAGATCAACTTACTGATATAAGATGTGAACACAAGGTTAGAGAAAAAAGAATGAAAAGAAACGAACAATGTCTCCAAGATATATGGGACTATGTGAAAAGATCAAATCTACGTTTGATTGGTGTACCTGAATGTGACAGGGAGAATGGAACCAAGATGGAAAACACACTTTAGAATATTATTCAGGAGAACGTCCCCAACCTAGCAAGACAGGCCAATATTCAAATTTAGGAAATACAGAGAACACCATTAAGATACTCCTCGAGAAGAGCAACCCCAAGACACATAATTGTCAGATTCTCCAAGATTGAAATGAAGGAAAAAATGTTAAGGGCAGTGAGACAGAAAGGTCAGGTTACCTACAAAGGGAAGCCCATCAGACTAACAGTGAATCTCTCCGTGGAAATCCTACAAGCCAGAAGATAGCGAGGGCCAACATTCATAAAGAAAAGAATTTTTGACACAGAATTTCATATCCAGCCAAACTAAGCTTCATAAGTGAATGAGAAATAAAATCCTTTACACAGAAGTAAATGCTGAGGGATTTTGTCACCACCAGGCCTGCCTTACAAGAGCTCCTGAAGGAAGCACTAAATATGGAAAGGAAAAACTGGTACCAACCACTGCAAAAACACACCAAAATATAAAGACCAATGACACTATGAAGAAACTGCATCAACTAATGTGCAAAATAACCACTTAGCATCATGATGACAGGATCAAATTCACACATAACACTATTAACCTTAAATGTAAATGGACTAAATGCCCCAAGTAAGAGTCACAGACTGGCAAATTGGATAGAGTCAAGACCCATCGGTGTGCTGTATTCAGCAGACCCATCTCATGTGCAAAGACACACATAGGCTCAAAATAAAGGGATGAAAGAATATTTACCAAGTAAATGGAAAGCTTAAAAAAAAAGCAGGGGTTGCAATCCTAGTTTTTGATAAAACAGACTTTAAACCAACAAAGAACAAAAAAAGACAAAGAAGGGCATTACATAATGGTAAAGGGATCAATACAACAAGAAGAGCTAACTATCCTAAACATATATGAAGCCAATACAGGAGCACCCAGATTCGTAAAGCAAGTTCTTAGAGACCTATGAAGAGACTTAGACTCCCATACAATAATAGTGGCAGACTTTAACTCCCCACTGTCAATATTAGACAGACCAAGGAGACAGAAAATTAACAAACATATTAAGGACTTGAACTTAGCTCTGGACCAAGTGGACCTAACAGACATTTACAGAACTCTCTGCCCCACATCAACAGAATATACATTCTTCTCAGCACCACATAGCATGTATTCTAAAATAAACCACATAATTGGAAATAAACCACTCCTCAGCAAATGCAAAAGAACCGAAATCATAGCAAACAGTCTTTCAGGCCACAGTGCAATCAAATTAGCACTCAGGATTAAGAAACTCACTCAAAACCACACAACTACATGGAAATTGAACAACCTGCTCCTGAATGACTACTGGGTAAATATCAAAATTAAGGCAAAAATAAATAAGTTCTTTGAAACCAATGAGAACAAGGACACAACATACCAGAATCTCTGGGACACAGCTAAAACAGGGGTGAGAGGGAAATTTATAGCAGTAAATGCCCACATCAGAAAGTGGGAAAGATCTAAAATCAACACTTTAACAAGGCAATTAAAATAACTAGAGAACCAAGAGCAAACAAAATTCAAAAGCTAGCAGAAGACAAGAAATAACTAAGATCAGAGCAGAACTGAATGAGATAGAGACACAAAAAACCCTTCAAAAAATCAATGAATCCAGGAGCAGTTTTCTTTGTAAAGATCAACAAAATAGATGGATCACTAGTCAGACTAATAAAGAAGACAGAAGAATCAAATAGACATAATACAAAATTATAAAGGGGATATCGCCCCTGAGCCCACAGAAATACAAACTACCATCAGAGAGTGCTATGAACACTTCTACACACAAAAATAGAAAATCTAGAAGAAATGAATAAATTCCTGGAAGCATATACCCTCCGAAGACTAAACCAGGAAGAAGTAGACCAATAACACGTTCTGAAATTGAGGCAGTAATTAATAGCCACTAACCAAAAAAGCCCAGGACCAGATGGATTCACAGCCAAATTCTATCAGAGGTACAAAGCTGGTACCATTCCTTCTGAAACTATTCCAAACAATAGAAAAAGAGGGAATACTCCCTAACTCATTTTATGAGGCCAGCATCATTCTGATATGAAAACCTGACAGAGACACAACAACAGCAACAACAACAAAAAGAAAATTTCAGGCCAATATCCCTGATGAGCATCCATGCAAAAATCCTCAGTAAAATATTGGCAAACTGAATCCAGTAGCACATCAAAAAGCTTATCCACTACTACCAAGTTGGCTTTATCCCTGGGATGCAAGGTTGGTTCAACAAATACAAATCAATAAACATAATCCATCACATAAACAGAACCAATGACAAAAACCACACGATTATTTCAATAGATGCAGAAAAGGCCTTTGATAAAATTCAACATCCCCTTATGCTAAAAACTCTCAATAAACTAGGAATTAATGGAACATATCTCAAAATAATAAGAGCTA